TGGAGAGAGGGACGGCATGTACTGATTCGAGTTCCAATTCGTATTGATAGGCGGAGGTCCGCTGGGCGACATGGGCAAGTTTGCCGAAAGCGGCGCCGAGTTCGCCTGGAGTTGCTCGCGGAGGATGGAGTTCATCGAGTTCCTATTCGACCTGCTTTCCGATTTTTGGGGTGTCCAATCACTCATTTGTGAACTGTTCGAGTCTCGTCTCGCCTTCATAGGACGGAAGAGGTCTCTTGTGAGATCGAATATCTCGGACCCCATGGCGCCGATAGCTGCCGAGTACCGCTCCCGTCTCAGTCTAGACTCATTGACAATGAAATCGGCAAACAGCTTGACGCGATCAGCGTCCGTCTTGGCGCTTGCTTCCTTTTCGGCAAACTTTTGAAAACGCTCTACACTGTCCTGGCAGAACTGCTGAGCAGTTTGGCTTACGACAATCTGCTTCGTGAGTGCCTGGGGCGTAAACGGAGTAGAGGCGACACTGTTGATCGAACTGTACATGTCTTGTCGGACAAAAGACGAACTGGAAGCAGACCGACTACTTTGGGGTGGGGGCGTGGGAAGTGCCTTTGGGGCTATTGGATGGCCCGATTCAGTTGCGATGGTCGGCTTCTGTGGCCGTGGGGCAAAGGGAGGCGTGGGTGAGTCGAGCGGAAGTCCTGCGGAAGCTCTGGGTGTTGAACTACGTGAATCTGCGTCCTCGGGGGGCCTGTTCAGCTCAAGCACAACTTTCCCTCCACTGCGTGGTGTACCGCGGTGTACCGAAAAGCGGCGGGACAGGTTGGAGCCTTGAGGGACCACTATATCTGCCAGTTGTCGACCTTCCGCGCTCGACTCGGCCCTCTGATGCCGAGGTCGGCTCTCGTTACGTCTCTCCCTCAACGACTTCTCGCCCCTGACAGCTCCAGTTCTACTCAAACCACCGCCGCTGTCGGGACTTGCGCCCGTAGCAGACTCCGGGACGCCGTGAGTCGGCCTGTTGCCTAGGTCGGTGGTCTGGATAGACAAGTCCGGTTGGCTCGGCGCCACGGCTTGTTGTTCCTGGCGCTGATGTTGCCGCTGATTATCGGTATCCACCCAATTTGCCGGCGTCGGCGGCACCGGCCCAAGGGCGGTGACACCCCCGGGCGGGGGTCGCCTTGTAGGGGGAGAGGCGATCGGGGGGTTGGAACTGTTTGGCCGGTTTAGACTCTGGGACCGAGACTGATTTGGGGGCGGGCCGGGTGGTGGAGGTGGAAGTGGTATGTGCGGGTCCCATCTTGTCTGTGAAGCCGAACGAGAACGAGCCGACAGAGGCGTGTCTAGGGCACTTGCGGAGGCGGCCCTACGCGCATTGGGCGGGATCGGCGGTACAGCATTATCCAGGGGCTCTATAGGTGGAGGAATGTGAACAGTTAAAGGCTGTATCCTAGAGGGCGATGCGAATGAGCGTGTATCCGGGCTAGGCGTAAACTCCGGTTGGTCCCGCTCCCGGTCCCTGCGCCTTGTGAGTGTGAGGGAAGATAAACCGAAGCGCCTATCGCGCGAGGTCCTTCGATCTGCCGACCCAGGCGGTGGTGGGAAGTTTTGCGGAGCGACCGGTTCCGGCGACGGCCTAAGGTTAGGGGCGCCTGAAGAAGGTATGCGTGCAGCAGATATATTGGCCGGCGGTGTGTCATAGTTTGCGGTAGCGGGCCGCTGGCTACGGGGAGGAGAATATGGCGGTGGTGGCGGTGCTGCGGCAGCAACTTTGAGTCAAGTAAATACCATGCTGACATGCGACGGATTGAGGAGCATTGGCTTACCTGGCGCGTCACGGTACGCAGGCTGTGGAGGGAATTGATGAGCCCGTTCGGGACCGGCAGCAGGCGAGGGAATCCATTCCTGCGGGTTGTACCGCTGTATGGAGCTGGCTGGAGTGAGAGCGCCATACGTATGGGGTGAACCAAGGGTGACAGCAGACTGAGGCGTGCTCAGCTGGTTGTGATAGCCCAAAGCCGACGTCAATAGCGGATTGAGGTTCTGACGAAGCCGAGGTGAATCGCGAGAGCTCGCCATATTGTCAATCGCCGCTGTGATTTCCTGCCCCGAGACAGCGACTCGCGTTGTGAACAAAGTGCGAGCTTGCGGTTGTTGCGTTTGCTTGCTTTTCACGCACGTCAATCCCTCGACTCGTCTTGCCAAGTGTACCCTTGCATAGAGTAAGTGTACAATAATTCAATTCACCGGCAATACGACAACGCAATGCTGAGTCGAGCCGCACCCATGATCTGATGATAGGGATGATAAAATTGCGTTGGCGGAAACTGGAGTGATGGGTATTTGTTCGCCGCTGCTTATGGATCACAAACGACGGTGCTACTGCAGGAGAGAGACTTCACAGGGCCATGGCCGACTGGACGGGAGGGAAGTGGAAAGTTGCAGAAGACGAAAAGGGGAGCAATAACGGGTCGTGATAAGACCTGGAGTGGGGGGGTTACAGTGTATGCAGCATTGCAGGCAGCACGAAGAAAAACAGCCCAACAACTACTGCTGTACTGCAGTACTGCAGAAGTACATGCAAAGTCTCGTACTTTAGCAGTATCTTGGCAGATCTGGGATGTATTTAATAAAGCATGGGCATTGTGTGCATCACGCCAGCGTTGCTCCTTACGGGAAGGGGGGCCAAGACCGGAAATGGGCTGATGACCCGGATTGGAGTGGTGTGAGAGAGCTCAGAAGAGGCTGGCCTTTCGACCTTCCTCGGCACAGGCATGACAAAAGCCGCGACCAAAACAGGAGACAGTATTCACTGAGTCTGTATCATGTCTAGAGTGAAATGAACGTCAATTAGGTCTTCATAACGCAGCATATCCAGAGACATTGAATGCGAAAATAGAACATAACTGCATCTCGAAGCTGGCCTCGGATGCCTGACTACAAGTGGGTCCCCCAGCAAGACGGGGCGTGACAGGGGGCAATTTGACTTCCAGGCAAGTTTCAACCCTATCAACTTGGAGTGTGCCTGACTTCTCCATGCGCATAAGGTTGTGACTGCTTCCTGTTCAACAGTAGACTACCACCCATCGGAGGTAGGTGCGCATGTAAGTAGTGGCACTCGCGAGTCACAGCATCAAAAAGACAGGAACCTGATCGCTCAGAACAGGCAACCCCAACCTTCGATTTGACGGTGGACCACCAAAGGCGAATGTCAACCCCAGTGCCGACAATTGGACCATCTTGGCAGTCATCCCCGGTCGATTTGGTCTATATTTGGATTCCTAAGACAGACCGGAATCCCTTATTGGCCCGTGCCCTCATGGCCCCTCAGTGACCCCGACCCCTGTCTGGCGCTTACAGGCCTTCTCGGCCAACAGAAGATGCAGCCCAGATGCAACATGCAGAATCGCGAACATATTAGTTTTCATCCAACCCCGCCTCGGTTTTCGCGTTCAGTATACTCAAGCAGTTTATGGCATGGATGTGGGCATGTCACTTGGCTGTGTTCAGACGCTACTTTAACCTAGATATGTTCACCACCATAGCTGTTCATTGAGCACCCATAGCCTGAGGCTGCAATGAGAAACTTTTGCTGCTCAGCCCGCTCCATGAACCCCCACTCTCACAGCATATGCCCCTCCCTTTGATGGTACGACAGTGCCTTTGCCGGTACCCAACTGTTGCCATTGGTGCTCTCTCTAGGAATTAATGAGTAAGTAACCCTGGGCGGAAGTGTTGGTATTATCTGAGATTCGGCGTAATGAGAAGCTCCAATGAATATGAGGACTTATCTGTAAAGGAAGGTCTTGTGTGATACGCATTTTGCGTTGGTAAGATAGAAACCCTCTCAATAGCTGACATTACTGCCGGCTATTCAGATCTAAAATTAGAACAACAGCACTGTGATGGGAAATTTTGTTGGACAACCTGCCGGCCAAGTAGCATTGCACATTACACCATGCTACCGTTTCACTCCGAGGATCCTTTTCGATGCAGGCTATCAAGTTACAAACTTTGTTAGCTTGATCTTAACAACCCAAATCTCCATCCGTATCTCATTGCTATAGTCAGATTTTGAAAGATCTTAGAGCACTGTTCCTTGAACGCAACTGTATCGCGTGTAGTACAGAGAGCCTACATGTCCTGTTCGCCAATACAGCGCCTGGCAAGGCCTGTCACGAAATAGCAACCCGCGTGGAGCTATAGCAGAGCTTCTATCGAACTAGCACCATGCAAGGGCCCGGTTGCTCGGGTCTCTTGAAGGGGTCAGTCAACCAACAGGAACTATGCAATCACTAGCATCACCCTCATGTCTTCGCAACAAGCGAGATGATTGGTCAAGTTAACCAGGGCGAACTGGGTCAGCTCCGTGATGGCAACTTTAAAAACCAACAGCACGTAAGGCTCTCGGCGATTCCCTTTATTGGAGTTATAGCTTCTCGTGGTACCTGTTGTGTCTTGTTGTGAGCAGGGTTTGTTGTCTTGCCGAGGACCCGACAGCATCAGGATTCAGAGTGGAAGACCAGATTATGTCACATTGGGAAAAGCTTAACACTTTCATCTCTCACTTGTAGCCTTTATTGTTCTGGTGAGAGCCGCTGCCCAGAAGAACACGATAGGAGCAGAGTCTCTATCCGACAGCAAGAAATTACTGACAGTGAAAGGGCAGGCGGTAGGTAATGGGTAGTTATATGTCTTTCAACGCCCTTCAATTCATCAGTCGTTCAAGTATCACAGTCTGCTGGGTAGCCTGAGTAAGTGAACCAAAATCTCGTTTGTTACCAGTATGCACCAATGTATTGTGGTCCTTACAGACTCCAAATGCAAGGACTTAAAGTGCCTCCTTGCGTTGATAACAAATGCATCCACTGATGATCAATCTGTATTAAGGTGTCTTAAGGAGGTGAATGCAAACAACTGTAGTAAGGCATAGGATCACAACAGCTAGCAATGGCCCATTGACAAACCGAAAAAAAAAAAATTGAAACGCAACCAAGATAATATCAATAGTGGTATAAAAGATTAAAAAGCAAATGAATGGGCTCAACCGGGATTTGAACCCGGGGCCTCCTGCATTCTACATGAGTATAGAAGGGGTTCAGAACCACCCAAAGCAGGAATCATACCACTAGACCATTGAGCCGATTATCGGAGTTTGATGTCAAAGCAAGACGCTAGCAAGACACATATCAGCGACAGAGTGAGAGACTCCACTAACAGCTGGAGGAAACCGATTTGTATTTGGGACGAAATGCATTCTTTATTCCTAATCAGACTCAGAAATAGTGTCACTTGACGTACACAGCTTTGCTAAAACTGGAAAATTGACAACAGTCAGGAATTGTTTTAACCCAAGGTATCTATCAACCAGCGTGTGGCAACTTGGAAACTTGCCATATTTTGCAACTCTGGATACTGTAGCAGTCCAGCAGTACAAGCAACTGCATCTGCCGCGGGTCAAGAGGCAAAGTTTCGGAGATACGTCCTTACGAGCAGTGAGGTCACCTTCATCTATGAGCCAGTTGGCATGCCCTCAGGAACTTATCCAGTTCTGCCAAGAGTACCTAGGTTATACTCTTTTCTGTCGCTACAAAAAATGCAGTCGATTCAAGATTGAGATCTCGTCCCCACCGGTTACGGCATCGACAAAGAGAATCTTCTGTCCGATGAAAATGTCGGTACACATATCGCCTTCTGTGGGCCTTTTCAATACACGAGTCGATTTACAACTAACCTAGCTTTTGGGCGGCCGCGCAAAAAATCTCAGCCCCATTTAGTGCACGGAGACTAGATATTCAACGTCACTCGTCGTGTGCGGAACGCGACCCTGAAGTATTGGTACCACTCGCACCTTTTAACCACCACACCAATTTCAGACCTTCCTCATCGATTGCGTGAAGCGCATCTGCAAGGCTGAAGCCTCACTCGGCATGTGACCGAGGTAAGACGCTCGAATATATATGAACATCCTACAAAACAACTTCAGGCCTCGTCGCGCCATAACCCTCCATTGAGGAGGAGACATGACGGAACTACCCAAAGTCCGCAAGTCCGAGCCACAATATTATGTAAACAGCAGGGACGGGCTCTTTGGCATGGCTTATAACGATTCTAGGATTCCTGACGCTGGATTCCTGACATTCGTATTCTTAATCGAAGCGGCATTTGCCTCCTTTCACCTATAGTTCCGCCTGGCGCAACTCCGATGCCAAGTGAAGAAGCGCGTATAGTCGGGAGCACGGTGCGGCATGCCAGACGTTAATGTCGGCGGCGTTAATTGTGATCATAAGCCTACGTGGGTTAAGTAAGCAAGCTGACTAGGTCTGACAGGATTTTGATTCATTCTGATGGTGTTTGACTTCATCTATGGCCTGCGATGGGAAACCGAAAACCACAATTCGCAATCCTACCCAAGGGCAATCCTACCACTCTTCTCCATGACCCTATACTGACCTGTGGGCCATCTCTGCCTTGGCGAAGTACCGGTACAACTGGCATCGGACACCACATCAATGGGCACGTGGATACCGCTATGATCGGAGAAGATGTTAGAGCATAATTCCAGATCTTGTATTATAAATCCGGCATGACGTTTCGCAGTCACGGAATCATAGTTGGCCCGTTTGTAGACTCGATATACCCGGCTGTCGATTGTTATATAAATCCTGTCGCAGACTTAATAAATTTCCTGTCTTGGTTCAGTTCCAAAATAGATTGATTGTTATCCATACGTACCTACTTACAGTCTCAAGACCTTGCGACATTTCACTTAGACTGCATAGATATCAAGCATCCCACACATAATCATGTATCCAAAACGATTCCCTGCGCCGGATGTAGACCCGGCTCCCTTGGGGGAACCTCTGCACTTCGAGTTCAGCGGCAGGACGGCTCCTAACCGATTTTTAAAGGGAGCCATGACGGAGCGACTATCGTCGTGGGACCCCAAGGACTTGCCCAAACGCGGTGTTCCGTCCAAGGAGCTCATCAACGCATACCGGCGGTGGGGAGAAGGCGGCATCGGTCTCATATTGACGGGAAATTTCATGATCTACTACGACCAGCTCGAGGCCCCTGGCAATCCCATCATTCCCAGAGACGCACCCTTCTCGGGTGAGCGGTTCGAGAGATTCAAGGAGCTGGCTACGCAGGGTAAAGCCCATGGTAGCCTGATCGTGGCCCAGGTATCGCACCCGGGCCGACAGGTTGCCGAATTCGTTCAGCCTCACCCGATCTCTGCCAGTGATGTCCAGCTGGAAGGCCCCGTATTCGGCCTGACGTTTGGGAAGCCACGCGCAATGGAGAAGAGTGACATAAAGGAGGTGGTGGACGGATTCGCCCATGCTGCCGAGTACCTACACAAGGCTGGTTACGACGGTATTCAGCTCCACGGCGCGCAGTAGGTTTTCCACTCGCCTCTAGACCTTGATGAGTTAAACTTTTGGCTGACTTGTTGCAGCGGATACCTGCTTGCGCAGTTCCTCTCCCAAACGACAAACAAGAGAACAGACGAGTACGGAGGTTCGCTGCTGAACCGTGCTCGCATCATTTTCGAGATTGTGGATGAGATCCGGAACCGCGTGAAGGACGATTCCTTCATCATCGGCATCAAGCTAAACAGCGTCGAGTTCCAGACCGGAGGGTTCACACCGGAAGAGTGCCGAGACCTGTGCATCGAGCTCGAGAAGCACCGGATGGACTTTGTGGAGCTCTCTGGAGGCACATATCAGGAGCTGGGCTTCACTCACAAGCGCGAGTCTACCAGGAGACGCGAGGCCTTCTTCATCGAGTTCGCCGAGATGATCGTGCCCCAGCTGAAGAAGACAAAGGTCTATGTCACGGGCGGCTTGCGAACTGCCGCTGCCATGGTCGAGGCGCTTAAGACGGTGCACGGTGTTGGTCTAGCTCGTCCGGTTACGCACGAGTTCGACCTGGCGAAGAATATACTCGAGGGCAAGGTAAAGAGTGCCATCGACGTCCTAACAGACGACCAAAACTTCATGGCAAGCAATGCTGCTGCGGGAACCCAGTAAGTCACGTTTTCCTCCCTTTCAAAGGAGCTTAACCAGACAAGCTCGAATGGTCGCGGCACATCAAACTGACTAACGGCCCTACCCCAGAATCCGCCTGGTTGGCAAAGACAAGGAGCCTCTGGACCTCAGCAGGCCAGATCACAAGGCAATATTCGATAAGGCTCTGGGCAAGTTCCAGGAGGATATGATGAACAATACAGACGGATCGAAGTTTGGATTCATGGATGTCGATGGCATAAAACTTGAGAGCTATGGAACGCCATATCCGGAGACTCTGAACTGACCATTTGTACAAATTAATGCCCACACTTTCGAGCTAGCCTAGCACTTGTACATGATTAATTGTATCTTGTACGACAAGAAGATCGATATAGATGGCGTCAGCGTCCAATGACAGCTGATAACCAAACGCGCAAACACACATGGCGAAAAGTCCATGGAGAAACCTCCCTTGGCGCCTGCCTACAGTGCAGGCATCTCCCTGTACGCTGTGTTGACGGCCCGAGTTCGAGCCGGCAAGATCCATTTGGTCAGGTACGGAGCCGGCAACTTGCCCACCTCAGCTGCAGGGAATTACAGTTGCATTCAGTTGCATTCTGCCCTGCAAAATGCAAAGTTACAGAGGCTGTGGCCCCACTCACCTGCGAGTGGGGCTGAACAAGAGCCCAGCCCCGCCTCAGCGGATCCTGGGAAAGGCTTAAAATTGAGAGTTTACACAGAGATTTCTAGATCTTTCCGCTGCATCACACTTTTCTAGATAAACATTCGAGAGGTCCTGTCGGCTTTTTGCAAGGCCCTCCATGCCGACCACTCTTCTACCATCATCACCTTCCCACCTCGCTCACCGGATGATAACCGAGTAGCTTTTTCGTCTCACCTCGTCCCGTCCATCTGTCATTATTGCATCGGTACGTACTGCTTTACTTGCCCTTGTTTACTCCATACGTGTTTATCGTTTGTGTTTGCATGCATTGATTGCAGCATCTCAGCGCAACTACCATCGGGGTGCATAAGAGCTTCTGCCCTCTCCCTCAGCTTGCGATGCCCGCGTTTTCCCTGATGATATAACCAGCTGGCACCAGTCATAGAGTGACTTGTACTCCCTTCTTTGATGACCTATATGCTGAAGGTCCTTCGAGGCCGTATCTGATCCAAAACGCTTTTGCATCTCCACTCTTTTCTTCACTACTCGAGGCGCTCTTCCATAACTTGTCGGTTGTGCAACAGTTGCTAACCACAGACACTCGCGTTGCAGCATCTTCTCCAACACTTCTACCCGAATCGCACAATTGCCGCCTGCGTCACAATGGCTCTTCACAACCCCAACAACTGGCACTGGGTCAGCAAGAATGCCTCGCAGTGGACCCAGGACTGGTTCGAGAAGAACTTGACCACACTCGAGGCCCAGGATGGGGAGGTCACGGCCAAGATCAGCAAGGTGCTCAGCATGGACGGCGACGTGGATGTCAGCCAACGAAAAGGAAAGGTCATTACCATCTTTGATGTGAAGCTCGTGTTGGAGTACTCAGGTGCGTGCCCGAACCACCCCGACCAAAGGTTATGCATCTATGAAAGCTCGAATAGCTTACAAGTGTTCAGGATCTGCGCCCGGTGCGGAATCTGTCTCGGGTACCATCACAATACCCGAGGTAGCGCATGACACGGAAGAGAGCGACTTTGTCTTTGACATTGATATCCACTCTGAGTCGACAGAGAAGCACGTCGTCAAGGACCTGGTCCGAGCCCAACTGGTACCGAAGCTACGTAGCGAGTTCTTGAAGCTGTCGCCTGCATTGATTGCGGAACACGGCAAGGACATCCAGCACGCGGCTGGCTCCAATCCGTCGAGCGGTTTCTCTACGCCCAAGTACCACGTACCCACTGGCGCATCGGCTTCAAAGGACGTCGGTTCTAGCACTCAGAAGAATGCTGGCAGCATCGTCAACACCACCACCCTGTCAGAGCAGGAGGAGTTCAGAACCACTGCGGAGGAACTGTACAAGACCTTCACCGACCCTCAGAGACTAGCTGCTTTCACCCGCGCGCCGCCGAAGAAATTCGAGGGTGCCAAGGTTGGCGGTGCTTGGGAACTGTTCGACGGAAACGTCGC